CGATCAGCCAGTCATTGGTGGGTAGGCAACGGTGTTTTATCTGCCATTGTAGCGAGGCCATCTTCGCGGGCCTGGACTTTGTGGTGGAGAACCATCGGATAGGATGAATTGCTTCAGTCCCTATGTTCAGGTGAGACCTCCATCGGTCCTTCACTTTTTCTTTTATATTCACTTTCGGTCGCAGCAGCTGGTAGGGTGTACAACTTCATGTTGTCCCCGTTTCTGCGTTTCCACCGGGGAGACCACTGCCACTCCTCGGGATCAATTGGGAGTTCGGCCACGGGTGTGTCTGGCTGATATGCGATCCACGCCTATTTGTCCTGTATCACCCGGATCCTGTACAGGTCAGAGTTCCTCCACCATCTCATCACTTCCGGGGTGTACCGGGTGAGCGTGTTGTTCTTGCCAATGTGGAAGAGAGCAGCCAGGGATTCGTCTGCACGCACCTCCACCACGTTGCCTATGCTCTCCTGATCTCCCGGGGCTGCTACCCAATCCCCTTTTGCCAGCCGCGGTCCTCTGCGCAAGATACGAACCCAGTCCAGGGGGATGGCAAAGATCAAGGTTACAACTTTAGGTTTTCCTTCGACCTGAGTTTTTGTTTCAGAGCCCACTACCATTCCTCTGGGTCGGGAGGAAGCTCTGCTACGGGGGGTTTTGGCTGGTACGCAATCCATACGTCCTTATCCTGTAGCACACAGACCCTGCACAGATCCTCATTTTTCCACCATCTCGTCACGTCTGGGTTTATATCGGTTGAGGACATTTTCTTGAGGGGCTGACGCATCACCTCTTCCCATCTAGATGGTGCAGGTTTGTCAGGTAGCGGAAGTTGTTGCCAAACCTTCAAAACTCCGGCCAAAAAATTGTCCCTTGCCAAGTCCAGGTGAACCATGTCTCGGGTTGTGTCTCGGTGTGTATCGCGATCAGTTCGCGGGCTGCGTGGCACAGTCCAAAAATGGTCTTCCAGCCAGGTCAATGGATTTACTCCTTGCGGTGTCTGTGGGGCTAGTCTAGCTAGTATCTGTTCCAGGGCAAGGGCAAACCATGGGAGATGTTGAGTGACGAGCAGTCTCCTAATCCATTGAACTGCCAGTGTTGTGATCTTGGTATCCGGGTCTAGGATTCCCAGGCCCCCTTTATCCTTGGGTTGGATCACCGAGGACCAGGCCACCCTGCTGATCACATTCGGAAGTTTGTCGTTTCCTCTCCAAAGAAGGGTCGTTAGTTGTCGCTTCAGCAACCGGACCGCTTCTTTACTTAGAGTCCAAATTGCGGATTTATACCACAGAGCCGCTAACACCGCGCTGTTGATCGCGAGTGCCCTACCAATGAGAGAGGTATGTTGGTCTTCCCAGTGGCCCAATTTTTCTAGGGCGGGTTGAAGGATCCAGTCATCGTTCAAAACGGGCTTACCTAGTGCCGTCAACTTGATTCCCAACACTCTGACCGGGGCCGTTTCCGGAAGCCACTTAACACATGGTAGCTCTGGGGGACGCACCCCTTGATGGTGAATCCCTATGAATCCCCCACGGTCATGACCGAGGGGTCAATCTCGGCCCGGGATCTGGATCCCGACCGCCGAGGTCGGCTGCGGGCGGGGCCGCGGTCCCGATTTTGGAACAATTTTTTTCCTATTAAAAA